GATTCTTGTAAACACAGAGAGGTTGCTAATTTTAAGAAAATTTAACTAGTTAAACACTAGAAAAAGATAAATATAATTTTTTTATATTTTGGTTTGCAAAAATAATTGAAATAATTGAAATTCCCTATATCTATTTAATAAATGCTGGAATTGAAGTCCGAGTGTGTTTTTAATGCATATTTAAATTTATTCATTTATTTTAATTTTTTAAATATATATTTCAAAATTATAATCAGTGCTCCCTTTCCTTACTTCTGTGTTTCTCAGAATGTACATTTTTAAGACATGGAAAATCAGTGAATTTTACCCATTTATCCATCTGGTGACCTTCCTAGTTAGTGACTGGCTGTAACACCCAGTTCATAAGGTCATTCAGAATACATTCCTTCACAAGAACTCCTAGCAGTTTTCCTTTCCAAGTTATGAATGATGGTCCCTCTGGGAAGAAGCATGGCTTCCATATTGCCACTATTGAACTGATGGCAAAGTGTGCAGAAGTGCCACTGAGAGGAGAGAATTTCTTACCCTTAGCTTCAGAATAATTCACCAAATGCTTCATCATCCTGAGATGATGTTGGACTGGAAATGTGACACATGTTAATTTGCATCTGACAACTTGAGAGCTCAGCTGGTGGCACACTGTGTATTCAGGTGATGGCCACATGCAGTTATTTCACACACGCACGTCATAAGGTTCCATGCTACCTCCTGTAGTACTGCTGCTACATGCTGAAAGTAAGCAAAGCTTTCAGTAGGGAAATGGCAAAAAAGCAGAGAGGAATCAGAGGTTCTGTGTGGTGAGGTTGCTTCCAGCAGAGTTGCTCATTACAGAGTAACTGGTGGAATTTTAGAATTAGTTTAGAGCAGACAGGATAATTCATCTTGTACAAGGTACAGAGGCAGCTGTTACCTCTAGGATATGCTATAGAAAATTCATATCTATATTATGTATATAAATATAGGTGTAGATCTGTATTATAAATATATATATTTATAGATTTGGACACAAGACAAATGCAAGGAAAACCCAGGTCTTTACCAGGCAGCTGCTTAAAGCTCCAGTCTTACCTTACTCATACAGCATGAAGTACCATGACTAACCAATTCTTAAAGTATTTCTGATACTATTCCTTAATTACTTGTTCCTCAAAGCAGAGGTGGTAAATTAATGTGGGGAAACTGATCCCTGTAAATTTCAAGTTGTGTTACAATTGAAATTGTTGTGGTTTTAAAGGCCGAAGGGCTCCTGTAATTCTTAATACTGCTTTTTAAGTATGCAGTGTCTCTCCCACCCACAGGCAGAACCACCTATTAATGTCCTGAAGATTAGTGCCTAAAAACAGGCATTTTAAATGTCCTAAGTGCTTTGCCAGGCTGTTGTGATCCATCTGTTGGCAGCTGTTGCAGTGTATGGACAAACTTCTGGGAAGCTGCAGGCCCTGGGCACTGCATGGAGGCACTGTGACACATCAGCAGCGGGCTGCCATGCATTATGCAGGGAGATTGAGTAATGAATTCCAGGCAAGCAATGTCACTCAGAAGTTCTGAAATGAAAATGCTAATCACAGCTGTAAAGAGCATGAGTGGATTGAGGTTTTTCTTGTATGACTATTTGTAGGTAATTAGAATGAAGTCATGTGGGGAAACTGCTCCTTTAAGTACAATGTATGCTGGAGAGAATGTTCACGTAGTGAGATCAGTTACTACAAGTTCCTAAGAGGAAACCTGGATCGGGGGAAATATTTATTAGCATTTTTTCTTTTTATCCCTAAGTGTACCTGTGTGGCCACTCTATGCCCTTTGAGCTCTTGTATAGTTTAATTTCACACTGCAGTCACTTAGTGTAATGGAGGTCTTTCACCATCTCGCCCACTCCAGTCCCCATTCATAAATAAATGCATATCACAGACACAGATCACAGAGTTCCTTTCCAGCTCTTCACTCATCTTCTAGCTTAGCCAAAACCTTGAAGAAAATATTTGAGTCTTTTGAAGTGCAACATATCCAGGCTCTGCAGGTGGAGAGTGGGAATGCCCACTGCAAATTCCTGCTCTCCTCACTTAAAATCAAGCTGAGTACCTGTATGATTTCTCCTTATTCTAACAGTCCTGATTAGCAGAGTCCTTGAGACAACCATGTCCCAGATGTGCATTCTTTCTTATGAATGTCAAAACCAGTACCATGGGAATTCCCTTTATCACAGTGTCAAGTGATGTTCCTATGCAATGCACTTAATGGTAGATTGCTGCAGCCTGTATTTGAGCTTTTATTTGCATGGTCCAAGTACACAGCCCCATGAAGAGCATATCAAAATGGGCCACAGACCATTCTGAGTTCCATGTAGTTGCATTCTTGCAGTAGGTAGATTGCACAATGCAATCTTATCACATCTGCCAACAGCATCAATCCAAGATTAACAATTAACCCACATTCCTGGGTCACAAATGAGTAGGCATGCAGCTGGACAGTTAGAATCAGAAATGCATATCACCTTTTTACTGGTGCACTGTCTGTCTGTTGGGGTAATACCATTTCAAGACCCTTGAAATCAAAATTCCCAAATTTTAGGACACCTTTCAAGCATTTAGTCCATCTCTTTCTTTGGAAGAGACACTTGACTGCTCTTCTTGTTTCCTGGCTTCCTTGGCACAGTGGTGGTAATATTTAATCAGTTACTGAAGAGCATTTATTAAGACTTTCAAGTTGTAAGTAATAATTCTGTTATTGTATCATTCAAGGTTCTTTTTCCTGTGCAGAAATTTCTCTGCTACAACATAAGAAGGGTCCTTTAATAGGTGGGTTTTAAATTATCTATCTAGAAACTAATTTCCTTGTTTATCCATCTCTAACTTCTGTGTAATTTTGCGGGGAGGGAGAGAGGATGATGAAATCTGTAAGGGCAGGTACCCATATCCATGAGAGCTCTGCTGCAGCAGCTCTTTTGACTTTTGTCTGCACCCGTGCTCTGCTGCCTATCTAGTTTAGTGTGGGGTGCACTCATTTTCCAGCTAAATGTACTTATCTCCCTGCCACATGTTGCAGAGTTTCAACAGTGAACAAGTCTACAAATGGATGTGTTCAAAGCTCCTCTAAAATCGTATCCGTTTGCTGAGCTAGCCCTAAGCCTTATTTGGCAGTGACATAGTGGCCTTTGACAGCTTTTGGAGACCTTTTTCTGTCCTTCTTGGAAAGTGACCTCTGTAATTCACAGGTTCCTAGTCAACCTGTCTGCACGAGTTGTAATTCATCTGACTCTGCAGGAGTAGACCATAACAAGTGATTTAGTAGCTCTATTGCATAAACCTAGAGATAATAATTCAGTCCATATTCTCAAATACAAAAACCACTGTTTTTTTTTCTTCTCCCCAAGGCCTGCAAATGAGGAAAACTCTATTGTTTGCTCTACCAAAGATGTCTGTGAACTCTTCTGAGCAAAGCAGTTCAAAGCTGTTTCACTGTGTTTCCTAAGTGTGAAACAGATGGTATTTTCTTTTGCTCATCTTTTGTCTTGTTTATTAAATAATAAATCCTTCAGGGCCAGAACTGTCCGTTGTTCTAGGTATAAACAGAACATCTAATTTTGATTTGGGCTTCCAGTGGCTACTTCAATTAAAACATTATTTAAAAGGAGTGTGAGGTTTTTATGGTCACTAGAAAATCAGTTGATAATTAGTTTAACAGAAGTCAAAATTTACCAAAAATGGACTTGAAGCTGAGAAGATATGACAAGCTAGGTAGAAGTGCTGATTTAGCTCTTATTTAAAAAGAAAATCACCTTTAGGTATTGGTAAAGAAACAGAAAATACCAGCATGGCATTGTATGCACAAAGTAAGTTATTGTTCAACCTTATCTTGAATACTGATCAAAGTTCCTCTTATCCCAAAAATCTGTAAAAGTGGAACAGCTGGGAGAAGGACAATAAAGATGATCCAAAGACATGGAAGAGCTTTGTTACAAATAACCATTGAGTTGGCTGTGACTCTTCAGTCTTGAAATGAGAGAAGAGCTGTAGGTCTGTACAACAAATATAGATACCAAACAATTTGTGTCCTCCAGCACAAGAAGTAAGGCACATTGATGAAGGCAATTTGAGCAAGATTCAAACAGATTCTTGATGCTCTGGGCAGCAGGCCTGTGGAAGGGCAGCTTCCAGTTCATCACCAAGGAAGCTGCTGATTTAAAACCAGTCCAATGAGTGGATAAGTACATGGGAGGAGCAACAAAATTTAAAAAAAGATGGCTACATACCAAAGTCAACTCAGGAAGTTCTCTGGAGTGAAAGCAGTAGCAGGTTGAAAGCATACTGCCCTATAAAACAACCCTCTTCCCCATTTTCACTCCTCCTTAGGCATTTCTGTGGACCCTCAGGACAAGATGGACCTTCTGACATAGCTTTACATGGTTCTGTAGTTCCAGAGCATGGTACCTGCTATAGTCATCCCTACAGCATCAGCAGTTAAAGGACTCTCTGGAATGTGTGCCTGAAAAATTGTGTTCATCCAGGAATTCTCAGTTGTTTGTAATTGCATATAAGAGTTCTGCCCTGATCTTTGTGGTCAAGGCAGTGCCTTGATTGACAGCTTTCTGTTGATCCAGTGAATGTCACCAATGAAGGCTCTTTAAGCTGCTTGACACAAAGAACTTAGGTGGGATTGAAAGTTTACTTGGTTGCATTACTGTAACCTTCATAAGAATAACTCTAATTTATAATACAAGAAATGTGAAAACTCTTAGAATCATGCTTGTTTTTTTTTTTTTTTTACACATCGTATGGCATTGAGAATTTGAAGAACTTTTGGAAGTACTTATACCTGGAATCAGGATAGAAACTGGAGAATTCAAAGTAATATCTAAATATGACTGACATATGTGCTGAGTACTTTCATCTAAGTTAAAGAAATCTAAATTAAGAAAACTTAAAATTATATGTGTTATTTTCATATAAAACATGAACAATACTTCACTATATAAGCCGGGACTGCTGTTGCTCTCTTCTGTAATGCCGCGGGCAGGTTTGCGGCCCGAGCGGGGCCGGGGCCGCGCTGCGGTGACTCAGGGACACCCGCCCGCCTCGAGCTGCGTCAGTGCCGAAACTGCCGGGCTGCTGCCCGTGAGTGACGGGCCGCCCGTGACTCCCGTGTCCCCGCTGATCCCAATTATCCCAATTATCCCGCACCTGTGACAGCTGCGCGGCCTTCCCCGCCAAGGTGCTTTCCGGAGCCGTTGTGTGGAATGATGAAATTTTAGAAACTTTCCCGTCTCTGTTGGTCCCTGGGGTAAGGGGGCTGTGAGGAAATGTGCAAAAAACCCTAAAAAAACCCCACCCGCAAACGGAGAAACGAGCTCTCCCAAACAGCCCCGAACAATCGCTGTGCAGCGGTGGCGGGGAGGGGGCAGCACTGAGGGCAGCCGGGGCGAGCACAAGGGGTCCCGGGCACTGGCTGCCGGATCCCCGCGTTCAGCCCGCTCCGCCCCGCCGGCCCCCAGCCGGCCCGTGGAGCCCTTCAGCCGCGCCTCCAGCTTCATCCTGTGTTTTCAGCCCGCTGGGCACCACCTGGGCCCCGCGTTCAGCCGGCTGGGCCGCCCCAGGCCGCCTCAGCCCGCGCCGTCCCAGCCGCCATCTCGCCCTGCGCTGCTGCCGCCACCGCCAGCGGGCGCTGCGGCGCCGCGGCGGAGCACATAAAGGCCGCGGGGCAGCGGCGACGCGTCCTTGTGTCTGTCTGTCTGTCTGTCCGTCCGTGACTCGCAGCGCCCGCTCTGCCCGCCCGCGGGATGCTGGCGCTGAGCGCCGCCCGACGCCTGCTTCGCCCGCCCGGGGACCTGCTGCCGCCGCCGGGGCTCGCCTCCATGTGGGCGGCCGGTACCCGCGGCTGCAGCGGGGCCGGCGCCGGCTCGCCGAACCCGGTGGTGTACTTGGACGTGGGCGCCGACAACCAGCCGCTGGGACGCGTCGTGCTGGAGGTAGGGGCGCGGGGGCTGCGGGCAGCTCGCCCGGCGCGGGGCCCAGGGGACGGTGCTGCGGAGCCGAGGGCGGCCTGGCCCCGGGCATGGCGGCTGGGGAGCGGGCAAGGTCAGGGCGGGCAGGCGGGCAGCGCCGGCTCCAGGGCCCGCGGCGAGGACACACATATCCCGGTGCAGGCGGGAGAGCGGCCCGGGGGATGCCGGGACTCGCCCCCCTGCCAGAGCCGCTGCCTGGCTGCCCTCGGGGCTCCTCTCCCGGGGCGTGAGGGCGGTGGTACGGCCCCTCCAGGAGGGGCGGGCTGCGCTCGGACCGGGGCTGGAGCGGGCGCTGCTCTCGCTGAGCCGCGGCCCAGCTGTGCCCGCGGCCGGTCCCTAAAGGCATCCCGTGGGACGGCCGGGGCGGAGGGCACGGCCCTGGTGTGGCTGGGAGCCTCGAAGGAAGGTCACTTGCATAGTGTGTAAGCAGAAATAAGCAGTGTGAGCAAGAATGGACTCGCTGCTGTCGTGTATCGCTGGCTTGAGAGGGGCGAGCGGTGTCCCAGCGGCGCCGGTGTCCCACGCTGCTCTTGCGGCAGCCGGCCCGTGGAGCCCTTCAGCCGCGCCTCCAGCTCCGTCCTGTGTTGTGCTGGGCGCTCGTTGTGCGGTTCTTTCGGATCCTGAGGCGTCAGTTTCCTCCTCCTCGGGCCTCCGGCTCCACGTGCAGCGAAGGGCGCTGCTGGGATGGCAGCAAGCTCCAGAGCCGGGTACCAGCTGGCTCCATCCTTAAAAACTCCATCTCTGAAATGCTCGGCTGTGTAAAGAAGGTCTGAAGAAGAAAACTTCTGTAATCTCTGTTTTTAAAGAAAAAAAGAAAGCGCTGTGAGCGCCGTGTGCCACGTTATGTGTATGTGACCCTAGGGCTGGCATGTGCCTCAGATAGATGCGTTGTGTATGGGAAGGTGTGTATGGCAATTCTGAGCTCCAGAACCATGCACTGGAGAGCGAATGAAGCTCTTAGGCATGCTGCCTGCTGAGGGAAGTTAGTGTGGCCTTCTGCCTCCAGCACCCACCTTGGGTCTGTATTGTAGAATTTTTTTTAAATGTAGTTAATGAGAATGCTCTCTAAAAGAGGTTCCTTTGAGACTAGAGCCCAGTATATTTTTATTTATTGGTAGTGTTAGCATGTGAATAAATTGGACTGTTCCAGCTGTTGTGCTCTCAGAAGGTAGTATTTCAGAGAGACATAGGTAAAAAATATTACTCTTCAAGTTCCTTATTCATTAATGAAAAATCTGGGAGGTATTATAAAAAAAAGAACATTAATGTTCCTGTATTTCTTATGGTATAATTTAATTTCTATGCTAAAGTTTTTTAGTGTTCCCAGTTTAGAGAAAATCAGAATACATTGCAGCATCTCCTTGAATCTTTGGCTGAGCTGTGGTGATCTTCAGCTGCAAATTGTAGCCATCTGAGAAGAGTGGCCTAGGGAAGGAACACTAAATTCTTACTGCAGCCATGCTGTTTGTAGGTATCTGCTGCTGATCACTGTCAGGATGTGCAGCTAAGTAAAACTTCGGGCTGGCTGGTTTGGCCACTTTATGTCCCTTTTTAAGATTAGTAAAAAGATGTACAGTAGTCAAAATTGGAAGTTTTTGTTGGTTACAAATGCATATGTAACATCATAAGTAGTTTTTGATGTACAATTTCTGCTCTTCTGTTGCCTTTGCCTTTTCTGTCGTTTTCAACAGCTGATTCTGTGCAGGGGGTGGGGAAGGACTTTGGTCTCTCTAGTTGTATCCAAACTCTGATCCTTGGGGTCCATAGTGAAGATTCTTCTTAGTAACTGCTCAATTATGTATTGATCAATGAAATCATTAGACACTGCTCAAGTGGCTCTTCATTAACTGGCCAAAAGTTTCCTTGAGGGGATATTTTTCATTGCTGGCCAAATGCTTGGAAAGTTTAGAGGCATTCATGGAATTCTGGATGGCTTGTGATTTCAGATAACTCACCACTTTGGGAAGAGGGTTCAGTTGTACCAGTCTCCCATGTAAATGTTTTTCTATGTACATTTGAAAGGGCTGACTTATGAATTTGTTTATTTTTCTTTAACAGCTGAAAGCTGATGTTGTCCCAAAGACAGCAGGTAAGGCAGCATCTTCAGCATTTCATACTTAAATACTTAAGTTGTAGATTGTGATTTGCAGGAATGAGGAGGTCTTTACAACTATTTTTTCATGTTCCATCCCCATTTGTTATATGGAGAAATATGACAGGAAGTGTTAGTGAGGAGATGGAATTTATTTTTCCAGATAGTTTCACTTTGCAAGTTGTACCAAGATAGTACAGTTCGTATATTGGGTTGACAGTGCTGAATAAATATGTTTAAATATGTTTAAAACCACACTAGCTGGCATTAAGATCAAACCCCAGAGCAAATGGGGAAGGGCAAATCAAAGGGGGGTGGTCTTTCTTAGAGTTTCCAAAGAGTATGTGGGGTTTTATTTTACTGGTCATTAGCTGATTAGTGAATTCATTTTAGAAAGTTCTTGTGGTTTATCATTTGTTTCCTTCCTCATCTGATTATTTAGTGGTTCTAAAAAAAAACTTGTACTTTTTAGTTCCTAGTAGACAAATATCCTTTAAAAAAAGACATAATCCCCACAAATGCTGTAAAGAACAAAGGCTTAAAAGTCAGAAAATGAAGCCTGTGACTACAGGCAAGGTGGGGGGAGTTGAGGAATTGGAGTCACAGCAAAATAAAAGGGAGATGAGGTGGAAAGGACTTATGTTTGTACCCTGTCTTGAGGATAAATAAGCTTTGTTTTCTTGGCTTTATACCAGGGTTTTTTGAAAGTATGGAAATAACTGATAGACTGATAATACTTTCAAGATGCAGTCAAGTTTTTGAAGCGTATAATCTTGGGACATGGTTAATCTGGTTGTGTTTGTATTGCCACACGTGATGCAGAATATAATACTTCATGCTTTGTTTCCACAGAAAACTTCAGAGCTCTTTGTACTGGTGAGAAAGGATTTGGATACAAAGGATCCACTTTTCACAGAGTGATTCCTTCATTTATGTGCCAGGTAATGTTGGGGGTTTTTAAATTTTTTAAATTAAATTTATTTTTATATTATTTACATACTTCTAGAAACAGACTAGTAGTAACATTTCAAATGGCACTGCTCTAACCTTTGCTAACAAAACAACAAAGAAGTGACAGCATGACTTGCATTTCTGATTTTTTTGCAATGGCTGTTGCTTAGCTCATCTTCTGTACAAATAAATGTAAGTTGTGTGTAGCTGGTCAGAAGAAGCCTGTCTGAAGGCTTTCTGCTCTAGCAGAGCAGTGTACTTTAGTGTGGGGCAGAGCTGACAACATGGCACTTGCCTGGGGAAACAGTTATGGGCAGAATGACAATCACCATACTGTTCTCAGTGAGCTGACAAACAGCGTGTCCATTCCTTATTCCCAGTAGAATAATCTGTTCACAATAGACAGTGTGGTTTAGTATTTTTATTTTAATGTCTCTGTAATATGGAGGAGACAGGGAAACCAAAAGGTCTGGGTTGATTTTTGGGGTGATGCAGCTGAAGTGGATTTTGTTTTGGTTTACAGAACAAATCTTTTGAAATTCTGGACAACAGCCCATGCATATTAACATCTTTTTTCTTGAAGAACAGCAGCTAAAATAACAACAAAGCTTTTTGAAAGCCTCTTTTTATACTGTGCTTGGCAGATGAGCAGGATGGAGCTGCTGTAGTTCACTGGATTCCTGGTGGTCCTCTCTTACCTTAAAAAAGGGTGCATTTCAACAACATTGCATTGTTGAATGGCTTTGTAAAATATCTGAGAAAATTTTAACAAAGTTTGAAGGTTATAAGTAAGCACGCTTTATTTGTTAACTGATGACTGTGATCGTCTCCCATCCTCAATTATTTTTTTAAGCAAAAAACACATCTGTTGGAACAAGAGGCCCTAGTTGTATGACCTATTTTTAAGAAGAAAAAAAGGGACAGGTGTGCTGTAAAGGACCTATTTTCATGCCTTTCAAATGCAAACTAAGGTTTTGTGGTACTGACAAGAGTTAAGAAGTCTTTGTGGGATCAGAAATACAGAAAAATGACAAAAATACAAACGCTACTTTGAGTTCTGTCACGAATTTGTGAAATTCCATATAAGTCTGTTCTGCTTGCCTGCCCTGCTTTGGCCCCCCAGATGGACTGGAAATCAGGATACTAGATGGTTGGTTATGGTACAGTGAGATAATGAATTGATGTTTAGGAATTACTCAGAGGTCATTGCTGAAGTGGAAATACTGTCGTAGGTTTCAGCAATTTTCAAGTGAGAGAAAACAGCAGTGAGTTGTGTGCTTGTTGAGATGGATTGTTAACGTGATTCAGGCAGTTGGTATGGCCTAATTGAGGGCCATCATATCCGGGACTCAGCAATTCCCTGTCTCCACGTGGCACGCAGCACATAGTTCTGGGACTGCGTAGGAGCAGCTGTGACAGCACCTGTAGGAGGTTACTCAGGGTGATGAGGGGAAGCTGAAGGTCACATGCAGTACCTGTTGGGTATGAGTTCTCGGTGGCACAGGTGGTGTCACTCCTGCAGAGGAGATGGCATGTGGTTGGGAGCCACCTTCGCGAGTCACCGTGGCTGCGTTTTGTGTTTGAACCTGTTTTTTGTGTTTAACCTGAGACAGGTGGTCACATCTCTGCTGGCAAGCAGCGTG